CCCATAATTTAAGCGCTAGTCCGCCCACATCAGTGTCACCTAGACAATAGGATGTGGGGACACAAACACACAGGAACAGACCCAGCAGTGCACAACCATCAGCTTTTCTTGCAGCCCATCCCTTTCTTTTGTCTGTACACGGTCTATTTAGATTGGAAGCTCTCAGGGGCAAGTACCTTAGCCAAGATTTTTTTTAAAAGCAATTAGAAAAGCTGGGTTGTGATACTGAAAGGGTGATGTGCTGCAGAGCACGCAGCTAGTGCTAGCAAAGGAAGAAAGAGTCTCCATTGTGTTTCTGTTATATAGACAAATCAACTTGCAAACAGCACCTTTTCCCCTATACGTTTTCCTCTAAGCAATTTTTAGGCACTGGAATTCTCCAGGTGAATGGAAGTTTCTGAAGTCATCACTGAAATTTATATAGTGAGTCTATTCCAATGACACGATGATTTGTTTTTTCATGGTTTCTCAACTGTTCATTGGTACATGTTAGTCTCGGTTTCCAACAGATGGAGGCACTTGCAGCAGAAAGCAAGCAAGAAATAAAAGCATTTAGTATTATTTCAGCTCACTGATATGAAAAGGTTTTTTGGAGGACAGTTTTGCTTTTCCTTGCATGAAAGGCTGAAGGTGGAAGTGATGTGAAACCCTCAGAGGAATCATCCTTCCCCAGCCTGACATGTGCAGAGTCTTCCTCGCTTCTGCCATGGGATGAGGAATGCCAGCCCCTTGTGGGTTTTGCTAACTCTCCTCCCAGAAGCTGCTCTGGGAGTCTTAAGTCTGTGGGCAAAGGTTGGACGGGGCAGGGGAAAGGATAATCAGGTCAGGTGCACTTAACACCACCAGCCCTTGGGGATTCCCTAAAGAAGACCTCAGGCCAGGCAAGGGGGTGTTTGAAGATTTCCTTCAGAACAGCTACAGGCCATGGGCTTTCCTTGAACCTTTCGAGTGATATGGGATTACTTCAGGTCAGGGTTTGAGTGGGCCCTTAACTGTGGTTGACCAAAGGTGTACCTTTCCCCCTGCCCTGGCTAGCTTTGCCAGGAGGCAAAAGGAAATTTCCATTCCTAAAAAGGTGCTTCTTGGGCCAGCAGCTTTTTCAGCTCCTTCTCAAATCCTACTCAGTAATATTATTCTCTCTCTCTCCGCTACTCAGCACCCTGCCCTTCGGTACAAGGATGCCAAAAAAGTATTTGGGAAAACCACATATCCAATATGGGATAATCACATTTAATGCCCAGCTTAACCTTGGACTTCTCAAGCCCACTGGGGCTAAATCCAGGAAGCCTTTTCATTTTGCACCATTTTTAGGCACTTGGTCCATTAGTGAATTTTTCAGAGCTATGTAGGTTAAAACAATTCAATGAGAAAAACAGAAAGAAGCAGTCAAAAGAAGAAAAACCTAATTTTCCAGCAGACGTACACAGTAGGTCAAATGGCCTAAGGGAAATATTTAATTTAAGAGTCATACTATTTCTACCAAGTTTCCTAACCAAAAGTATTTTCATCAGGAGCACTACTCTTGATCTGGTTACTGCTAATGATTTTCCCCGTGGACTTAGCTCATAAAAACATAAATTGCTTTATGAATCATAGAATCATAGAAGTTGGAGAAGAAAATGATGGGTTAGGTCATCTTGCCCTTCTCCCTGACAGTGCAGTATTATTTCTTTTTATAAAAATTTTGAAAATAAGCATTTATTCAGAGCTGGAGAATAAAAATGCTAAGTTCAAAAGAGATTTTTAAAATACATAATGAAAGCAGTGAAGGGAGAGCCAGATTCTTAAGTACCTTGGCTCTCTCTACAAGCCATGACAATTTGATGACAAGTATCATCTGGATAGGCACAGCCAGAAATTCAACGGCAAAAAAAGGGCAGTGGTGTAAGTCCTGTGCACAAGTAATTATCACAACTGTAAATGCAAATCTGGTAGTTACATAGGCAAATATGCTGTTAGGTAAAGACCTGGCCATCACAGTAATCGTGACCAAAGGTACAATTGGAAGTGCAAGAACCCAAGTCCGCGGGCCTTTGTGCAGAGTAAAGGTGGCACATGTGATACACGCTGTGTTATTGTCACCTATTGTGACACCTCCACACGTTGCAGTGAGCCAAAAAGTCTGTGCTTTGCATATTTGCTTTTGGAGCCTTCAGTTTCAATATTTTTCTGTTTTCCAAAAAGAGCTTCAAATCCTGCTTTGTATTACTTTTTGAAGTTTTTTCCCCAAGCATGCCTAGTTGAAGAGGCTGTCCTTTGCATAAAAAAAAAACCACTTTGAGCATCCGTTTAATTCTGGCTCAGAAACTGCTCTTGAGCCGACATTCTCTGAAGACAAAAGAAAAATGTTTTTGTTATTTCTTAAGTTAATCTTAAAGGTTGGTTTGTTGTGGTTTTTTTTTTTTAAAAAAAGGTATTTATATGTCCTGTAAAGCTGACTAAAATCATCCTGGTGTGAAGTTCTGACTTTTGTCTCAGTTGGCCTTCATGGTCAGAAATGGCCCCTCACCTTCCAGCATTTTTCACAGAGAATGCAGGCACTCACTAGAATTCAGACTGTCTGAGAACCATTATAAACATAAAGTAAATGAATCAAAAACTGTTGCTGGAGTTGGTTTTGGACTTCAGTGTGTTTTTTCTAGGTCTCTGTAAGACAGCAGTATCTAATTTTGTTCCCATTACTGTCTTCCACCGTTGTCTTTTGAATTGGGACATCTTAGAAAATACATCTCAGTATTTCAGTAATTCCTTTAGCTCAAGCAAGCGAGTAAGTCGTGGATCTGTAAGGATGAACATTCCCAAATATTGATCACTGAAACTAGAAACACTCTAACAATTTTTATTTTGATTCTAGTCTCAATACAAGATGGCTGATATAATTTTAAATCCCTTCAATACACAGCATGCATGTCTGACCACAAATCTTGTATGTGAGTTTACGCAGGTAACAGCCCTGCAAACTATTTTTGTACAGGCCACACATGTAACTGATCTAATTGAACCAATGCAAAATAGGATACATCCACTGAGCGAGAGTATAGAAAAATAAATGCACAGGCCAAACACGCCAGAACTCTCTCTGAACAGAGAATGCACTGGGTACCACTTCTTATTTCCTTCACAGCCTGTGGTGTATCTCTTCAGGCCGACTTGTATCTCAGTCAAATGTATAAAGAGGAGAGAAGAAACCACACTGATGGCAACAGCCGTTGCAATTCAGAAACCCTTGGTGAGAAGTCAAACTGAAGGACTTTGCAGCCCACTTAAAAACGAAAGGAGCATAATCCCTTCTATGCTGCGTCATGAATGACTTAGCAATAAAAGGAGCTGTGCATTCCTACTGAGGGGGGAGTCTGACCTCTTCTCCTGACACGCATAAAGCCTCTTCCACTATGCAGCTGATTTGCCTACAACAAAGTGAAATTATTTACAAGGAAGCTTTTACATACACTTGAGTCGGGAAGATACGTATGTTGCTTCAGTATGTATTATATCTCTACTTCCTTTTTAAAATGTAGAATCCTATTAAATATTAACTATTATACCAACTGAAGAATTGATTTAAAACAGTAGGTTGATTTTGCAGGATGATTTTGTTTCTTACCGTTCTAGCAGGCTCATGTTTAAAAAACTAAAGCTTATTTGTTTTCTGCAAACTATGAACATGCCCAGGTAATTACATATGCAAATCTAGAACTTGCATATACAAATATCTTTTTATGTGCACAGCTGCCTGGTTCACTGGGGATATTTTTCAGGGACAATTCAACTACAATTTAAAAAAAAAAGCAACAAAAAAAAACCCAACAAAAACCCCAAACTAAATAAGAAGCCTTACTCTGACGGCAGTATTTGTTTTAAAGTCTGGCCTCAAATCCAAAAAATATAGGTCAGATTTTTCCACTAAATGTATGCAGCATCATGATGCAACTCAGACAAATGAAGGCTCGAGAAGAAAATGCACAGGCCAGACATGAGTTTTCTAAGCTATTTTAGTTGAAGCTTCAAACCTTTCTTTTCTTCCCACCACCCGCTCCAGTTAAGCAACCCCAAGCTGCGAGTCTCATTCTCTAGTGGGTGTTTGAATCCTGCTGCGCTCTTCTCCCAGGATAATTCCACTTAAGCAACAGCCAGAACTTCTGCCAAGCGTGCGGGGGGAGGAGTGCAAGAAACTAACCACAAACCTCAATTTACATCAGGGCATTTTGATAAAAATATGAAAATGCCCCATTCAGGCTAGTGACTGAGGTTAACGATTGCCTCCGGTAACAGGCAGCGTATGTGCTGCAGAAGCATCTATACCTGTAGATCTGCTCCACCCTCACTTCGCTTCACCCTTCAGACAAAACAGCCTGCCCTCATCACCTGGACAATACAACTGCCTGTGTGAAAGGTGCGGGTATTCCCTTGGAGGTATCAAGTCATTCCTCTCTTCCTTCTACTTAATTCTTAAAAAAACAAAGGGAAAAATAAAAAGAGAAAAGTTTGGCCGTCTGTGAAAATGGGTGCTCCTAAGCTATATGACAGCATGAGGTACAGTGAACTCCACAAGGCAGCAACCAGGTGTCCTCTCTCAGGCATTTATTTGTTTTTGCAGGGTGGCTGAGCTTGAAAAGTTAGATCAATGACATATTGGTTTCCAATGCTTTAAAATCCTCTTAACATCTGAAAGGCAAGTCTAGCAAGAAATGATGCATAAGGTATATGCTGCCCACCTTTTACCAGCATCCTTTCTGTCAGCTTTTGGGTATGATCCAAGTCATCCCTGGGTAGATACTTTAGAAATGCAATGCAAGTCATATTGTAGATCATCTGGACACCCATGAAAAATTAGGCTTTGGGAAGGCATGATTAAAACCATTCGTAGGACAGCCTTGGCTTAAAACATACCCACTGCTCCACATGCATTGGTTATTGCTGCATCTCATGAGGCTGGTGATGAACTCCTGTACTAAAGCATCAGCTTGGCCTTCTGCAAATGCTGTCATTAGATCACTTACTTCTGGGTTCGCGAGGTCCATCCACTGTTATCTTGATGGCTCTGTGGTATGTGGCTACTTGTGGTGGATTTGTGAAGACCGTGATAGTTAGCGTGAAGCTTTTCCCTGCAACAGGAAAAAAATGTTACTGAGCATATGTGTTGAGAAAAGGTGTACTCCTCATTTCAGATAGCACTCGAAAACACCAAGTGGCACTGAAACACGTTAGTTGTCTGTATCTGAAGACAAATATGTGCCCAGAGAGTGGGGTGTAAAACCTCACAACTGCCTGGTGCTGGATGCATTCCCTCTGTGGCAACATCTCAAAGCTTTCGGGGAAAAAAAAATTAATTTGTATTTAAATGATCTACACTTTGTAAAAAAAAAAAGGAGGTTACCCTTAACAGTTAGAGTTTATCTGATCTACATGACTGCTGGTACTTTATCTATACTTTCTAAAGGGTGTTAGTTCAGAGAGGCTAAGAAATTATGGCTGACTCTTCCAAAACTGCCACAGGAATCTGATCAACAGCACTCGTTAATATTAAAGAGAGCTGGGTGCTCAGATCCCCTAGGCAGATCGTAAAATCCCACGCTTTGTGGCTGAAGCTAGCGTTAGATCAATTCCATATTGCAAACCAGAACCCTTTAAAAATAATCTGCTACTGCAATGCCAAGAAACAAGAGAGTGGAAAAAAAAATCCCTACAGCTTGTCCACAGAGAATTAAAACATTTTATGAAGACATAGCAGAGCATTATGCTTAGTTTCTCTATTATTCAGCAAGAAAACTGTAAGGGCTGTTCAAAATTGTTGTGTGCATGCCACAGCTCTCAGATGGGAAAAGTACTCATTTTGATGGCTGCTGGGGAGGGTTTCCTATCCCCTTGTGACTGCAATGCCTTCAGCTCATGCTACCCCTGGATTTGCTTTTGGCCAGCATTTACTTGAGGCATTTTTTAAATAACAGAAGTAACATTCTGCATCTTTGATGAGACCTCATATATGCATTTATTATGGCTTTGGCCTGGACAACAGTAAAAACATTGCCTGTCAGCAGGTTTAGCATAATTATCTCAGCATCATGAAGGACTCAGATACTGACAGGAATCTTGGTTATCAGTAAGAGACATCAAGGGACATCACCCAAGTCAGATAACCAGGAACTGTTGTAAGAAAATTGAGGTTCTCCTCCTTTGGGCACATGCTGTGTGAGCTTTCCCATACAGATCTGCCTGCTTCATTTTACCACTTTCCTCCAGCCTTCCTGAGTGCTGAGTTTCTTCCCTTTTAAGACTTCCCATTTTTGTTTGCTTCATTTATCTATATAAATAAATACAAATTTAAATATAAACGTAAATATAAATGCCTGCATCTAGCAGCAATACTCCCCCCCCTCCCTACGCACATTCATTTGCAATTCAATACTTCTCTTAATGCAGTTCCTACTTTGGTGCTAATGGTCTGCATCAACATCACAGGGAGCACACACACATAGCTGTTACTGGAAACTGTCCTCATCACATCCCTGTGAATTAGGGAGGTATTCTCCCCAGTCTACCGATGAGGAACTGTGGGGAGATAAAGTGTCTTGGCCACGGATCTCACAGGAAGCCTGTGGCCAGTGATGCTAACCACTTTGGCTGCTGCAATTAAATCCAACTATAATCCTGAATCACAGCCCTGACAAAACAGGAGCTGAAACACAAGCCTTGCAAATCCCAGGCCAGTGTCTGCCCACCTCCACATCCTTGCTAGAAAGCGGTCCCTGAGGCTGAAAGAATTGCAACAGAAGCAAAAGTCATTTTCAGATGCCTGTCTGAGGACCTTTGGACCTCAACTCTTGGGTCCTACATCTACCCAGACCAAGGATGGCTGTGTTCTTGACATTCTTTAAATACCAAATTAAATGATAAAGCTTTACAGCTTTGTTACTCTTGCTCTGCTAACACAACAGATCTTTCTATGAGACATCAGTAATAATGTTCAATAAACTTCCTTCCCAAAAACTTTACCACTCATAACGCTAGACTTAACAAATACCAGAGAGGCACCTGCAGATCTTTATTCTTTCAAAAAATAGTTTCCCTGTATCATTATAAACCATGCCTAGATCACTAAGACAGAGACTTTGACAGTGTACTTGATTCTCTTTACTAATCTGCAGTATTTCCATCTTGCTTCCCTTTTGGGGGGTTTTTTTAGACAACTGCTGACGCATTAGGTAAGATGCTCCTGCTGTTCTGCTAGAATACATAGTCAATTTATTTATTTGGAAGACTCTTGTGGATTTTCCAGATAGAAAAGAAACACAGAAAAAAAATTGTAACAATAGTGAAATGTAGTAAAATGTGGACACATTACCAGTCTACAAGGCCAGAATAAAGAAGAGGGAGGTGAAGTTACATTCAAGATTTTCTACAGAACACACTAGATCTCAGAGCCTGTATAAGATTGTGACACAAGTTGGCAAAAGCAGGAAGATACTTAGCTTGCTTCTTGTTGACAGAAGACTATTCATTAACCACATACTGGTTAACCACAGAACTATATAACCATAAACCTATGTGTCAATCATTGTTGCTTACCAATAATTCTGGCTATGTTTTTTCTCTGGTTATTCTGTTTCATTTACATTTAGCTTTATTAAGTGGTTTTATCACTTTTATTCATAGCTTCTACATTATTCATCGTTTATGTGTCTGGTTGACAAAGGTAGATTTAGATTGGAGGTATTGTTAGTGAAATCTGTGTTTTATGGATATTCCTGTTTTGGGATGACAGAAGGACTATAAACATCTCCTCCTTGCTTTTATGCATTATGATACAGCCATGATACAGATATTTATTTTCAAGGTACACTTGCATAATACACTCACACACAAGCACATGCACACACACACGTACATATGCAACATGCAGCAGACTAAACTGGTGAAATAATACTGGGTTAGTCAGTGGAGGCTGTATTCAGACTCCCTAGCACTGCAGCTTATATTAGATGCCATGATTTCCGATGCCTAAGTAAGTGGACCTCCTAACTATCAGTAGAAGACCTACATTGAGCACTTAGTGTCTCTGCTCAACTCAGAAAGGGGTGGGTGCCATCAAAACTGAGTCAGACAGCCTAAGTGATGGACTGACCTCTCTAGTGACTGTAAAGAGGGACCAAACACCCCAAGAAAGCATTCTGAAACACTGGCCTGATTTGGATGCCTCCAATAGTCATGATGACAATTTCATGGTGTTCTAGCAGTCACAACTGCATGTAGCCCTCCACTAGCTAACATCAAAATCTGAGACCCTCTGGGATAAACAGTCCCATAAATCTACAGAAAACCATACACAAATTAGCTCGGGTCTATGATGCATGTCGCAGTAAACTGAAGATAGTTGCTACCGTGTCATCATGGGAGACTTTACCGATGGTGGAAGGGCTAACAGGTGGCGTCAGTGTCAAGCTGTGACTTGCTGGGATACCAGAGTCACTTCAGAGACTGTTGCTCTCTCTGTAAGTATCCCTGATAGTTACTAATATTAGGCACATAGCACCTCATAAGCACAAGGATTAAATTCTCCAGATGCGGGACAGGGCTCTGCCTTTGGAAAACCTTCTCACAGACATCAGGCTTACCCTCATATGTGTAAGGGCAGAGCACAAGACTCACTGCTTCCATCAAGTTTTCCCTTACAACTAGGTTAGGAAAAATTGCTCGGTAACGTTTATTTTTGCAAGAGCATTAAGGTCAGAACACTCCTAGAAAAAAATAATGGAAACAGTAGCACTTCTGGCTGAAATACAATACTGACTTTTGAAATGATACCTAGAGACTTGTTGATGGGACTGAACTATCAGAAGTGCCATCAAGTGTCACTGCTGATTTGGCAGCTGAAGTCAGGTGGATTAAACCAGTTGTCCCCAGCTCACGACTTCACAGGATTGTTCGTGAGATCCCCTGATGCTGTGTAAAGCTGCAAGAACTTAAGAGGAAGCACAAAGCATAATATTGTCCACCAGTGCCTGCTCAGCAATCCTGTTCCTGGACCAGCAAAAGGAGAAGATCAGCCTCCCAGACCCAAGCATCTGAAAGTGTTGTGCCTGTGTTCTGCACTGCAATACAGGAACTTGAAGTCTGTGTTCAGTCTACGTCCCATCTGACAAAGGCTGGACGCAAAACAAGCAGTGAGCTCACATCTAGCATGGTGAGAAATCATTTAGGTAGTCCCCCAGAATAGCACTGAAGGGCTCTAGAGGGAGCAATAGGCCTATCAGCTATGGCCCTTGGGAATGTTTGAGAGGAACCAAGGGGGGAAAAATTAATCTCAAGTGACAACATGGTCACATGAAGCTCCTGTGTGGTGCTTTAGTCATCCCTGAGCAGTGTCATGACCAGATGGGTCTGGGACTGGGAAGGCACACTTAAAATCTAAGTGGCTGCACGGGCAGGTGTGAAGAGGAATGGGAACAGACACACTTTAGGGAAGAGAGGCCACATCTTGAACATATCACTTCATTTTAATCCACCTCTTTCTCAGGCAAAAAGAGACATTGGCTCTATTGATGAAGGTTCATCCGTATGAGGACAGAAAAAAATGGAATTAAAGTTTCAGAAGTTTGCCCAGGGAGGAAAGGGAGGGTATGGGTGAGGAAAGGGAGGCCAACAGATGATGTGGTTACAATTACTATCTTTTTCTTTTGGGATTTATTCTGATGACCACAGATGTGTCATTAGAGCTGTTGGGCAGGGGGTTTGAATTGTTACAGGAAATTATTAGGTAAAAAGAAGAAGAAAAATGGGAAAGGAGACAAGAATGCTTGTGCTGACAAGGACAAAAGGTATAGATGGAAAAATATGAAATGTAATACACAAATGCAATACAAATTCTATTACAGACATTTCTATTATATTAGTGAGAGACTCCCAAGTTCTAGTAAGAAAGATTATGATACTTTTTTTTTTTTAAAAAATCCAGCTTCTGCTTTTTAATGCTTATGTACTTATTTTTATTAAACCGTACTAAATGGCCAATTTTATACATTTTTACAATTTCTCACAACATTTTCCTGGGTATCTGCCAAAGTGAAGATGTCTGCTGCATTTTAATAACGTATCTGACTGTATATCT